ATCAGCCAAATTCCATCTGCTGCTGCAGTAGCTAGATTCACCTGGAAATGAATGTACCTCCACCCATCTTTTAATTTTTGTGAAACCTTTGAACACACCTCTCTTGCGTATAATAATTTGAATCTTAACTCTTGGTAATTCCTTTCCTTGTGTCCATTAAAATGAGAGGAGTAGAAGGTAAAGGAAGAAAGGAAAAGGACAGTGAGTATCTTGAACTCCATAAGACTCTTTTGAGATTCAAGTTTTTTTTATTATTAATCGTTGGTATTATTTGCGTTTGCAAAAACATGAGTCCAGAGATTTTGAACCTAATATAGTGTTTCACCTATTCCAGGAAACCTTGTAAGGTTATGCTAATGCCAACCCTCTTAAAGATATACATGATACAAAGTGTTAGAATACTACAAGGCTTAAAACTGTGTTTCACTATTAAAAGATTATGATGTATTTTTAGCACCTAGCACATAACTCAGTTTAATATATGCTCTTGATAACTGTGTGTTGAATAGTTCACGATTATAAAAAAAAAAAAAAAAAAAAAGATTTGAAATCTACATTAAATCCTTTTCAATATATTATACCTGAAGCTATCTCTAAAGTTTGAAATTTAGGGGATGAAAGAAATAGAAACTTCATTCTACATCACTGTAAATGGAATTCCATTAAAGCTGAGTTTATTTTATGGGCAAACTTAAATGTCCAATGTATGTTACCTTCAGATGACCTTTATACTAGTAATATTTAGGCTTGACAAGTAAAGAAAAAATCTGAGTTTATCTAAAACACAATATATTATTATATGTCATTACTCTTACATCCCTCGTGCTTCCATTTGAGTACCACCTTTTTGTCATTCTCAAGTCGCAATTTTTTCTACTTCTAATGCTTAAAGGGAAAAATTCTTAATACTATCAGAGAAAATACAGGAAAAATAGAACGTTTTGTTTAAGTTTTACGTATCTTCTCATTATTCTGCAAATATGCTCTGTAAGGGGAAGTAGACAGGAGTTAGTGAATCTCTTTAGCATAAATGTAAGTAATTAATAACTTTTCCAGCTTTCTCACAGATCTACTCAGAACAGATCTTTCTTAAGTTTAAGAGTTTTTATTTAGTATATATGAGTATTTTAAGGATTTTAACTGTTTATTTGAGGGACATATAGAATCCAGGGTGATATTTTCTCTTTCCACCTGAGAAAGTTTTAGCTTGAGATTTCTAGGGTTATGGTCTGTTCTATTGTTTGTCTCACATAGATGCAATATATAGCAAGGAATACAGTACCCTGTGAGCAATGAACAGGGATTTTTTTTTATTTCATGCATTATTCACAATTCTGCAGTGGTTTCAGAAAGTCAGTGTATGTCCCAGACACAAAGAAATGAAGAAACACAGAAACAAGGATATGATTTTCATATCGTTGTTTAGAATGATAATACTGTTGTGTATGGATTTCATCTTCATTGCAAAGTTGTAATAACTGTTATATTTTTAGCAGTCATCTCAAGAATCAAGAATATACATGTCTATCTTGTTTCTTAATGAAATGATTATGTTTAAATATTTGGATCTAAGCTATGAAGGGGAATTTCTATCAGGAGGGATAAGCAGTATGACTTTGTATGGATAACCCAATGTTTATTTTAGTTATATTTGTGACATCATTTCAGTTGCCTATATCAGTACTACTTTAAGTGGCAAACATAATAAAAGATGACTGTGTTTTGAAAATAAATGTGATTTCATTTTATTGTCACCAATAGATAGATGGAATCAAAGAAACGTGCTGGAATTGAAAAGAAAAATTCTTTTGAAAGAATTTTTCTAGTATATAGTTTTCATTTTATGGTCCAAATTTAAATGAACTCTCATGCACTTATAGAGAACATTAAATAAAACAAGTTCAGTTAATAGGCCTAAAAACCCACAACATGAAGGCACCAAGAGGATGACCATCCTTCATGACTGAGATAATGGTCCAATGTAGAAAATAAATTTAGAAATAACCAGAATAATAAGTTTCTAGGAAATTATTAGGGGGTGTTTTCAGTGTTGAATTCAAGTGGGATCCGATTAGAAAAGACCAATTGCGGGAGCACCTGGATGGATCAGTTGGTTGAGCATCCAACTCTTGATTTCAGCTTGGCTTATGCTCCTAGGGATATGGGATCAAGCCCGACTCTGAGTTCCATGCTGAGCATGAAGCCTGCTTAAGATTCTCTTTCCCTATGCCCATCTCCCTTCATCACATGTGTTTCCCCTAAAAAAATAAATAAAATAAAATAAAATATAATAAAATAAAATAAAATAAAATATAAAAGACAAATAGGAAGAAAAACATCACATCTTGCAATTTGAATTTTTTTTTCACTTGCCACAAATAGTATTGATCACTTGCATGGTTCATTTAGAACTTCCTGGCAGAGGAAGATGCAAATCACTGAAAAATAATTATGGTTAAGTTGAATGCTGTCCACACAGATTCTATGCATTATAGATTATCCTTATGTCTCCAGTTTCTTTTTTTTTTTTTCTTACTTACTTTGCTTTGTGGTCCTGGAGCTCTTTGTATATCACTTTCCTCACTTCTCTTCTGTTGCTTCAAAAGAATTGTGTTTATCTTTGTTTCCAACCACCATTATCCCAATCTGATACTCCACACATTAATTGTGGGGAAGAAAAACTGACAAAAAATGAGGAACTATAATTGTGTCAACATCATTTGAAGTCTGTTTTGCTTCTCTTAAGTCTGAGCATTCTGTCTCTTGTAGGAAAATAAACAGGACTGACAATACTTAACTGTTCCAAATAAATCCTCTCTTACTTTATGCAAAATTGTTCAGGTCTTGATGTCAGAGAGGGGTCAATGAAGGACATTTCAAAGGGACTAAGAAGAGTTCCTGGATGGACTCTTGGTTCCTAGACTTTTTTGAATTATGATTATGATGTCATCACTGCTAGAATTTATAAGTACTCCTGGTAGAGAGTAAAGCATCAAGCAAATGATAAACCTTTTGTATAGCTACATAAATTATTTCATCAGTTAGTATAGACATTTGTCAAATGACTACATGATTTTTTTGCTCTCAGAAAGTATACACTCCAAAAAAAACTTAAAGAGAAAAATACCTTTTCTTAAAAATTCCTCAGACCACAATGGATAATTAATTTCAGCTTGACAGGTATAAATGTGTTCAATAAAGAAAGAGTTGGATATTTCAATAACTAGGGTCATTTGTCAGGTTTGGTACTTTAAAAAATATTTTTATCTCTCCAAATTCATTCAAATAATATATTAGATTTTACTGAAATAGGTCACAATTACATTCCACTGTTAGGAGAAAACTTTATTATTAAGACATGTAAAGCAAAATATTTTTAAAAAGTACTTGTCTTACATTGATATGTTAATTTTTTCTCTGATATTTTGAAAACATGAAACTCTGTTCATTCACTTTTTGTTTGTTTAACTTGGAGGTTAACTCCAGTAAAAGTAATTCTGTGTGAACTTACCTGCTTATTTAAAACAAAGCATAGCCCTTGGAAAGTAGCATCTTTTATCAGTTATGATTTTTAATCACAATCATGCTTGTGAAAGCATTTTTATTATCCATTATGGATAACGTTTTAAATGACTTAACTTCAATTCTTGACCATCAAATAGGTTTTGTTTTCCTAGATGATTTGGCTATAAAAGTTAAATATGGCAAAAGTTTTCTTAGAGTGGAAAAGAAGCTCAATTTTTTTCTTTTAAAGATTTATTTATTTTTGATAGAAAGCAAGTGGGGAAGGGGCAGAGAGAGAGAGAAAGGGGCACAGAAGATACAAAGCTGGCTCTGTGCTAACAGTAGCAAGCCTGACACAGGGCTCGAACTCATGAACCATGAGATCATGGCCTGAGCCAAAATGGGACACTCAACTGACAGAACCACCCAGGTGCCCTAAAACTGGATTTTGAAATGTGGCTTCTTTTCTAGTTCTTTTCTAGTGATACATGTCCTGACATTATTGAAGGTAGAAAGAACAGTGATTGGGTAGGATTCATCACAGAATTTTACTTCCTGTGTGTTCAAACATGCTTTTATGCCAATTAGCTATGACCTTTTATTCTAGCCTTTAGTATGAGATTATTAGAGGCAATAATTTCTGAAATATTTTCCTTCTAATATTAGTTTAAGCAAATTTCTGTTTCGTGGTTGTTGTGCTTTTTTTTTCCTTTATGTGCTACTTCTTTCCACTAAGCTGCTAAATCTTTTGCAGAGGAATTAAACATAATGTTTCTAGAAACATGAATAGCTTGCGCCCTTTTCTGAGTGTCCTATTTCAGAAATAATGCAGCTGCAGTAGCATTTGCCTTTGTTTCTTCCCATTTCTCTCTACAGGGAAGTTTCTGCTTTAAGGCAGGCATGGGCTCTTTTATTCCTGGGATTTTTCTCTTCTAAATGATGTGAATGCTTCAGTCATGTTTTCTAAAGCACATTGTTTCTTTGTTAACTTATTTCAGTATGGTTGATTCTTCAGCTTGTAGGAATAATGAGGAGTGGGCAAGAGAGTATAAATGAATAATTACAAATCAACTGTTCCTGTTAGGAAAACAACCCAAAACAAAGGCTGTATGAATATAGTCCCAGTAACATCTTTAAAGATGACACACAGTGCATTTGTGTCTTCTGTATGTGATACACAGAATATCTCTACAGGCCATAAGATGTCAAAAAATGCAGCTAAAATGAAAACAAGCCACTAGTACATTTTTCATGATACTTCAGTCATAGGACTGCATTGCCTCACATGAAAAGGTCTTATTTGACTTGCATTTGGAGCAGAGAGTGAAAGGACTTTGCTAAGGGTTGCCTTCTTTAGCCCCCTCCCTCTAATACATTTCTTTTATGTGATTCTTCCACTTTTCATTTCCCATCTTACTTGTTTTCAATCTGAATAGCACACTTTATGAAATGGTCACTGCTTTTGAAGTTCATTCTACAGAGCTCTAAGTTTTACTGAAAAGAAGATAATTTTCTCGAATTTGTGTGTCATCCTTGTAAAGGGGCCATGCTAATCTTCTATTTTCCCAATTTTAGTGTATGTGCTGCCAAAGCGAGCATGGTAAATCCCCCCCCAAAAAAATAGGTTATTGGACAAATTAGTTAAATCCCATTCAAATAATAAAAGAAGGCAAACTTGGCTTATTCAACTTTGACATCTAATTTGATTCTTTTGTGTGTGCTGTCCTCCTGAAAGCAGCCAACACTTGTTAAATTTGAATAGGAGAGAACAAAAAGAGATAGTAGAATATTACTTCTTTTCACTAGTTTTAAATTAATTTTAGATTACACAGAACTACATCTTCATTATTTAAACAAGAAATTCAATATGTACTCCAAAGGGTTCTACTCTTCTAACTCTCCTTTAATAATCTCAGGATTCTGTATCAGAAGAACAAGGGAACTAATATTTTGTTGTGGTATAAATATTTCTCCTTCTAAAATAACAAAGTCAAAAAACTCTTTGTTTTTCTCATGTTCATGACTCTTCTTTGGCTAATTGAAACAGAATTCACATGAATAATTTATATTATGGACTACCTGCCTCTTAATCATTCCTGGAGAGAAAAAGTTTTAAATTAAAAAGAAATAAGACTGTTTTGAAAAGATTATATATCATTGACAATTTTTGTCATTTTTATTTTCCTAAAGAAGCTAATTTTGAAATAGATAAATGCATTAAGTTGGAAATGAATCTTAATTATACTTGCACTGGTTATGCTTCATGATTAACACTGGTGCAAACTGATAATTTAAAAACCTCATAGATTTTTACTGCTATTTGTACCCAGCTGTGTCAACTATACAAATGATAAAATAATAATCAAAGGACTGATGGCTTAATGTAATAGCTATTGTGCTTTAAATATCTTTTATGCTTTGACATTAACTGTCTCTTTTACTTTAGTATCTACTTTTGAAAAATCTACTACTCATTCCTGATACTATTTAACTGGGGTTATTAGTCCTTTGGCAGCACTACATGCTATTGACAGTATCTCTTAATTTGCTTAATTTCCTGACATTTTCTAGGTTAATTTTTTACTTTGGAATTTTTAAATGCCAGATTTGTGCTTAAAATAGAAAAACCCTCCGCTAATAAGATTTAGTCATATCATCTGAGTACTACAGAGTTATCCCAGATGTAATAGGGAAAGATAAAGAAGGGATCACAGATAATAAATTTGCCCTGCTTCCTCCACAAAGTTATTATTGCAAGCTTTAAGTCTCAGCTTTTATTGATAATATAAATATAGGTTATGTAAGGAAAGCTTATACCTATTTATAATTGCATTCAAATCTCGTTTTAGTAATTGCTTTAGGCCAAACCACTCCATAAACAGTCCCAAGGCAATTTGAAAATAGGTATTCATTGCATAATCTTTTTTTATTGCATAGGCATTTTATTTTATGATTTTTGTAATTAAAGTAATAAAACTAAATAATATTTCCTGGCTAACTAGCAGGTAAACAACTTTACACAATATAAATGTATTTTATCTTGTGAAACAACTGATGGCCATTCAAAAGGAAGATTGTTGGGGAGGAGTAGGAGAAGGTTGTATTTTCAATTGGTTACCAACCTTTTAACAAAACAATTCCTACTGTAATCCTAGAGAATTTCATCTGACTAAATCCCCACTCAAATGACAAGCATGGAGTGAGGGCTCTAGTCTGAAGAACAAAGAATGGGAGGACCAATATCTGAATGAGTCCCCCCATGGTGCTCTTTAGAGAGGCCCATTATGCCCTGGGTCAGCACCTCTCACCGTTACTTGTGAAAATACTTGGCATTGCATGATGCCATATGTCTTACATTGTACTTGCTAAAATTGCTTATGCAATTTCAATTGGCCATGGTATTTATCATGTTCTATCCTCAGCATTATGTAGCATGGTTAAGCCTATAAAGCAGCTGCTTTTTTGTATATCTGAATCAAGTGATTGTTATGCATTGTGCAAACATCAGTTCAAGATTCTTGAGTGCCCTAGCATCTACATGAAGGGTAGTAAATGTTAGGCTTTAGAGTTTTGTGTTATTCTTCAAATTCAATATTGCCTATATATGTATATCTCCATTCATTAGTGAGCACAAATAAATCTGTTTTATGTGAATAGAAGTTGCACATGGATATCAAGAGATAAAAATCTTCCAAGATATTATAAAATCATGTTATACAGCTCAGTTTTTACAATGGTTCAAATATAGGGAGCATCTTTATGTACCATGAATTAGTATACATACAATTTTTACCTACAACACCCTTAAATATGGCTTCAGGACTGTAAACTTGTTTTGTTTCTTTTAAAGTGTGCAGAGGTGTGGAGGATAAATTTTAATTGAAAATGCCTCTTTGAAAATTTGACTTGGTAAAATAAATTGTGTTGTATGTATATGTATATGCATGTAGCTCTTTTGGTGTCTGGTAAGAACTAGCTGCCACTCTAGGATATTTTCCACTCTCTGGCTATTTTACATATGAGATTCTCATTCTGCAGCTCCCACCTCTGTACTACTTCTGCCCTGATCCCTTCAGCTGCATTGTCTCTTCTCTTTCCATCGAGAAACTCTTATCTCCCATAATTTACTGAAGTACTATAATTATAGCATGTATCTTTTATTACCATAGCTCTATGTTGTGCTTTTCTCTAGTAGTACAAAATATTAATGAGCTTAGCACCTTTCATTAAGATGTACTACCCATTTTTTTGAATGTTTGTTTATTTTGAGAGAGAGAGCAAGGGAGGGGCTGAGAGAGAGGGAGAGAGATAATCCCAATCAGACTCCTCACAATCAGCACAGAACCTGATACGGGGCTCAGTCCCATGACTGCGACATCATGACCTGAGCCAAAATCATGAGTCAAATGCTTAACCAACTGAGCCACCCAGACATCCCAAGATGTACTACCCATTTTGAGCAACAGCTTTAAGTCACAGGATAAGCCTTCTACTTTATGGTTTACCTTTTGTTTGTGTGTTTTTGAAGGAAGAAGGGGAGATTTGTCATTTAAACAACAAAAAGCATAAAACTCTCAGAAAATCTACCATTGCTAACCCATCCAACCCTCCAAAAAAGAGAAAGTTTTGACATTGGAATGTGGAGAATCTTTATACTGATAGTATATTTTCCATACTTAAGCAAGTAAATCTATGAGTTAATCACAAATGAGGATACTTAAAAGTTGAACCTTTTTAAAAATTATATTACTATATTACATCAATGCTACTTATGTCAGTGGCTTCCCATTACTTCTAGGAAAATCCAATTTTTTTTTTACTGTAGCTGCAGAGGCTCTATGATCCAACTTATACCTACATAATACTCTTGATTATGTAGGTTTATTAGGTTGTTTATTTGAGATTTTTCTTGCTTCTTGAGGTAGGCTTCTATTGCTATATACTCCCCTCTTAGGACGGCTTTTGCTGCATCCCAAAGGTTTTGTACTATTATGTTTTGATTGAACTTGTTTCCATGATTTCCTGGTAGACCCATTCATTATTTAGTATCATGTTGTTTAACTTCCATGTGTTTCTGGTCTTTCTGAATTTTTCCTCTGGTCAACTTCTGATTTCATAGCATTGTTGTCAGGAAAGGTGCATGGTATGATTTCAGTCTTTTTGTATTTGTTGAGGAGTGTTTTGTGACCTAGTATATGATCTATTCTGGATTATGTCCCATTATGTACTTGAAATGAATGTGTTTTCTACTGTTAGGATGGAATGTTTTGAAAATATCTGTTTATTCCTTCTAGTTTAGTGTGTCATTCAAAACTAATGTTTCCATGTTGATTTTCTATTTAATGATCTGTCTATTGATGTAAGTGGGGTGTGAAAGTCCCCTACTATTACTGTATTATTATCAATGAGTTTCTTTATGTTTGTTATTAATTGTTTTATATATTTGGGTGCTTCTATGTTGAGTACATAGTTACCATTATATCTTCTTGTTTGGTAGACCCCCTTTATTATGATATTGTGCCCTTTTGCGTCTCTTGTTAGTCTTTGTTTTCTACTCTAGTTGTATGATATAAGTATTCCTACTCTGGCTTTCTTTTGACATCCATTTGTGTAAAAGTATTTCTCCATCCTCTCACTTTCAATCCGCAGGTGTCCTAGGTCTAAAAAGATTATCTTATAGACAGCATATACATGGGTCTTGTATTTTTTAATCCACTCTGACAGCCTATATCTTTTTCTTGGAATGTTTAGTCATCTACATTCAGAGTAATTATTGATAGATATGTATTTCTTGCCATCTTATTACTTGTTTTGTTATTGTTTCTGGAAGTTTTCTCTGATCCTTTCTTTCTTATCACTTTTGGTCTCTTCTTTGCACCCAAAGAGTCCCCTTTAATATTTCTTGCAAAGCTGGTTTAGTGGTCATGAACTCCTTTAATTTTTGTTTGTCTGGGAAACTCTTTATCTCTCCTTCTATTCTGAATAATAGCCTTACTGGATAGAGTATTCTTGGGTACATATATTTCCCATTCAGCACTTTGAATAAATGATGCCACTCCCTTCTGTCTTGCCAAGTTTCTCTGGAGAGATCTGCAGCTAGCCTTATGGGTCCTCCCTTGTAAGTTAGGGACCTCTTTTGTCTTGCGGTTTTTCAGAGTTTTTATCACTATATTTTGCAAATTTATATTTTTAAGTTTTTTATGTTATTTCTTTTGAGAGAGATAGAGAAAATAAGCACTTGTGAGTGGGGGAGGGTCAGGGAGAGAAAGAGAATCGCAAGCAGGCTCCATGTTCTCAGCATGGCACCCAGTGCAGGATTTGAACTCATGAACCACAAGATCATGACCTGAGCCAAAATCAAGAGTCAAACACTTAACTGACCAAGGTACCCAGATGCCCCTATATTATGCAAATTTGATTATAATATGTCTTGGTGTTAGCTTGCTGTTGTTGATTTTAATGGGAGTTCTTTATGCCTACTGTATCTCGATATCTGTTTCCTTCCCCAGATTAGGGAAGTTTTCAGCTATTATTTCTTTAAATAAACTTTCTGCCCCCTTTTCTCTCTTCTTATTCTTCTGGGACTCCTGTGATATGAA